AAAAACACTTTCAATCATTGCTGAACATGGACCAAGTGCTTTGTATGAAGGCGAATTATCAGATGGAATTTGTGAAGAAATACAAGAACAAGGAGGAATTATTAATCGATATGATTTAGAAACTTATCATGCTAGAGTTAAACCAGCTATTCAAGTTACACTAGGTGGTGATTATACAGCTTATGGTGTTCCACCACCAGCTAGTTCAGCTATAACTCTTCTTATTCTTAAAGTAATGGATGGTGAGTGAAGAAATAGGCAAAACAAAAAATAAACATTGCAGACATGAGAAAGCTTTTTATTGTTATTTTAGGTTATGGTTTAACACCATATTCATTAGATAGTGATGAAAAACAAGTGAGATTTTATCATATTGTTAATGAATTATTTAAATTTGCATATGGAAAACGATCAGCTATGGGAGATGAATATGATTCTCAAACCGAAAAAAATAAAGATATTGAACAGGTATGAAAATAAACCAGTGCTTTATCTCGAACGTAGAGAACAGTCTCCTGTAAACCAAATTTACTCTTCGAAGTTTACTTTTATTGAACTCCGCAAAACGATATTGACTTAACCCAACGAAAAAAAGTTCCATGAAAAAATTATCGAAAAAAAAAATCGCCGTGAAATATTGATGGAAAAAATTTCGAAAAATAAATTATGTAAAACAACATATCAGGAGAAAAAAAAAAGCTTGAGATGTTGTCAAGAAACCATATTAATTTTTCATCCTTTTTTTCTGTTATCTATTAATCCTCTTTTTTGCTAAGACTATAATCGTCTATAATAGAAATTAATTACGCATTAGAATGGCAAAGAAATAAATAATATGAACAGCCCAAGAATTTAAATGTTTTTTTTTAAATTTTATATTATCCGATATATTTTGTTTCTTGTAAAATATCAATGTTCACCTTTTTCAATATTTTCACTTCATTAGTTTTCTTTAGATAATATCTCGTTGATCGCTAGAAAAAAAAAAAAATAAAAAGAAATACTTTTATAATTGTAACGTATTTTCTATGCTACTGATTTATAAATTTTTCTAATAATATTTAATCTTGTTTTCTTCACTACCGACTGACCTATATTTCTTTTTCGTAAATAAAATACAAATTTTCAAATTCTTAAGCGAGTATTTCCATGACAACGTTGTTTTGCTTTTTCTCTAACAATATTTTTCTTTCAACTAAATCAATACAATACCTTTAGCCTTCTTCGAAAATAGTTGCCCGATCTCCCGAAATTTCAAAACTTCCCTTGTGAAAGAAATAAAAAACCTGGCTAAAACACTATTAATTTATTGTTTTTTTTTTTAATGTGAATACATTATTTAGCTACTAAATCTTATCTTATCTCCTGAATATGCAGAAGAAATTCGTGAACGAATCAAAGAAGATAAAACACAACCATTAGAATATTATGAACCTATGTTTGAACCTCAAACAGGTATGTGTAAAGAGAAAAAAAAAAGAATACTTGTATTAAATAATTTTCTTTTAAAGATCATGGAACCAGTCATTGCTCTATTATTGATTCAGAGGGTAATGCAGTTGCTGTTACAAGTACGATAAATACTGAGTATGTTGATTATTTATTTTTAAAAATATAAATTAAATCAAAAATATTCTAGTTTTGGTGCCTTTGTTTATGGACGTAATACTGGTAAATGTTCATCTAAGAATTTATCTATTTTTTTAATATAATCTTCCTTTAAGGTATTATATATAACAATCAAATGGATGATTTTTCTCAACCAGGTTTATCTAATTACTATGGTTATGCTCCAAGTCCAGCTAATTTTATAAAACCTTGTAAGATAAAAAAAAAACATTTTCGAAATAAATAAATAAATAAAATCTTTTTAGTTAAACGTCCAATGTCATCAATGAGTCCAATTATTGTTACTGATTCAAGTGGTCAAGTTATATTTATTGCCGGCGGTTCAGGTGGTAGTCGAATCATATCATCTGTTGCTCAAGTAGCTATTTATAATTTATGGCTTGGTAAAAGTATTCGTGATGCTGTTGATATGCCTCGTTTACATCAACAACTTATTCCAATGGAAATTGAATTAGAAAAGCGTTTTCCTGTGGTATAATTAAATCTTATTGATTTTTTGTTTTCTTTGTTAGGTTTTCTCTTTTGTATATAGAATGTTGTACATGGTCTTTTATCAAAAGGTCATACAATATCAAGTTTTCGTGGTGGATGTGTCGTTCAAGCAATTGAACGTCGTCATGCAGATGAATTATGGGCTGTTTGCGATGCAAGAAAAGGTGGTGCACCGGATGGTCTTGGTTATAAACATATGACAAAAAGTTTTCAAAATTGGTTTCGTCGAACATTTCGAAGAAGTAAAGAACAAAAATTATTAGAAGAAGAAGTTGAAAAAGCACGATTATTAACTCCAAAGTAATTCCAATAAAATATGTATTTATTTTTTCTTATTTATTTTCTTAATATAACTGTGATCCTTTAATTTTTCCTTTTCACTATTTTCATATATAATTATACATGCACACCAATAGTCATTCTATTTTTTTGTTTTTTCTTTGTTCCATAGAGAAAAAAAAATTCTATTTGATTCTTTTGGTTTTATTTTGTCGAGACAATCGGCTTTTTCTTTCTGTATTAATGTCGTTTGTTTAGTTTTTAATATGAACTTTTTAATGAAAAGGTAGGAGACAATCAATTTTAGTTTTTATAGTTTTCAAAAAACGATCTGATTTTGTTTTTACAATTAAAATTTGCAACTTCACAGACATCTGATTTCGATTCAAACAGACTGCAATTGATTATTATATTAATATCTAAATTTCTATATTTCATTATGAAAAATAGTTTCTGCGGATGTATGCTATCGAAACATTTAATCATAATTATTTTAGGATTTCGATAATAGAATAATAAAAACAAATTGTCAAGAATGCTAACAGATGTCATGAGAAATTATATTTACGTTCCGACGAAGCAACTCTTATTCAAATATCTGCTATTTTAATATTTTTGTATCATATACCTTGTTTGTTTTTTGTATCATCTAACATATTCTATCTGAGCAAAGAACAAATGCAAAATAAGTTTGTACAAACATGTATTCATACACGGACTATCTCGTTTGACATGTTATTATCATCGGTACCAAAATCTAATGAACACGGATGTTTTTATAATAATACATGTTGATAGAGACGATGTAGAAACCTGAGATTTTCACTATGCAAAAGAGAACACTCAGAATCATCAAAGTAAGTCAAAATCTGATTGCTTATCAATTGACCAATGAGGTGAATGCTTAGCAAAGATTTTGAAAACCAGATTCTGAAGTCAGTTTTCATCAGATTTTGACTTGTAACATGGTCAGTCAGTAGGAGAAAGTCTTCTCTTTCGTTATACACAAAGCTCAATTTCGTAAGTACTTCCATTCAAGAGTCACAAGAGTTTTCCTGAGCCCACTGATTTCCGCAACTTGACTTTGTAAGACTCTAAAAGAGCTCTAGACAGAAATTATTCCCCATGCTAAGTCGAATGTCGATAGTTATTTTCAGTTTCAAGCCGATCTAAAACCATTATTTCAGTGGATAAAAATCGAAGTTTTGAAAATCTTGAAATAGTGGATCAAGGCCGGTTTGAAATTAAAAATAAATATCCCCATTCGACTCAGCATAAGGAATAATCTGTGTCTAAAGCTCTTTTTGAGTCTTACAAAGCCAAATTGCTGAAATCGGGAGTCTCAAGAAAACTCTTGAATAGAAGTAGCTGCGAAATTGGACTTTGCATATAGCGAAAGAGAAGACTTTTTCCTACTGATTGGTCATGTTACAAGTCAAAATCTATTGGAAACTGACTTCGGAACCTGGCTTTCAAAGTTTTCACTAAAGACTCATCTGATTGACCAATCAGATTTCGATTTACTTTGATGACATCGAGCGTTCTCTCTTTAATGATGAAAACTCTAGGTCTCTACATTGTTTCTATCAAAAGTTATTACAAAAACATTCGCATTCATTAGATAGTAGAGCATCAAGTAATGTTTAGTGAACGATGAACAAATTTATTATATATGTAATTCAAAAACAATAAGCTATAAAAATACAAAATCACTAATTGTTGATAATGATCTATCGAAACATGATTTCTTAATAATGCTAAAAAGAATGATAATTTGGATCTTCAAATTCCAACTAATTAAATTTTGTATTTTGTTATTGTAGGACTTATTTTTTTTATTATATAAATAAAAAATGTACTTATAAAGAATTGATGAAATCGAATTTTAAATATATCATGCAACGAGCTTCCACTATGTATTTAATTATAACATATCTATGTATATAAAAATACCAGAGAATCAAAATCTTTTTTTTTTAGAACGAATTAAGAAGTTAAAGAATATCATCATGAAAAATGAGAATATACCGGAAGGGATTTCTGCTTATCTGGTTCTTGATAATATAGATTAGCTTTATTGTTTTCTTGACAGACAATAAGGTTACTATTGAATTTTTTTCAAGCATAAATTTTAATATAAAAGATTCAACAAACTCCTACACAAACGATAGAATCAGTCGTGCTAGTGGAAAATGTCAGCAATAAAAAGACTATTTAATTAACTCATACAGACATATGACTGAAGTTATACTATCATAGAACTCAAACTTTTTTATCTAAAACGTTAAGTGCTCATGTCATCAACTCGCATATTGACCTCAGTACGTTCTCACATTCGTCAAGTTCTATAAATGACGAGATAGTTAATGATCACAATCAGCGACATCTTTAATAAACTTAATCATATATTAATAATTATTAAGAAAATGATTTTTTTTTACATAAAAATAATTATTTAATTATATTTTTCTAAATATATGATTTGATTAGTTAAAAGAAAAACTCCAATAAAAAATTCTTGGATGATTCAACAAATTTTTATTTATAAAAAAAAATATTTCTATTATTCTTGGAATTCGTATATCCAAACAAGTATTATCATGCTTGATGAATATCGTAGTCGAGCATCGTTTTGTACTAAACGTATGCGAAATATATTTGAAGATGAGCAATCACAAAATTATCGAGTATTTAGAAATTCTTTTTTTTCTTGTCATCTTATTTTTATTTTATCGTATTGTCTTAGGCAAAAATTTGGTCAGTATTAGATTCTAAACCCATATTTCGTCAATCACAATTTCCAATAACAATTGATGAATATAAATATTTAACATATCAACGTTCAAAAGAATTAATTAAAGCAAATTTATTAACCGATGATGAAATGTTTGATAATCCACAATATAAAATTATTCTTGAACAATGTTTAGCTATGTATGATTCATCATGTCATGCAAAATATACACTTTCAATGACACTATTTCGTGAAACAATTCGAACATTAGGTACACAACGACATGAATATATTTTAAATTTAGATCAAAATCATCAAGTAATAAAAATTTATTTAATTTTTTTTGTTTCTATTACTTTGATGAAATATAATTTATTGATTTCTTTTTTTCTTTTTAAATTAGATTTGTGGTTGTTTTGCTTTAACAGAATTAGCACATGGAAGTAATACAAAAGAAATGCGAACAACAGCAACATATGATCCAACAACTCAAGTAATAATTATTTTGTTTTATTTTTGAAAAGAAAATTTTTATTAATATTTATAATAGGAATTTGTTTTAAATACACCTGATATTGAAGCAATGAAATTTTGGGTTGGGTAAGTTATTTCTATTGTGTTGTTTTTGTATTAGAAAATAACAAATAATTTTTTTTTTTTTGTTTAGTAATTTAGGTTATCAAGCAACACATGCTGTTGTTTATGCACAACTTTATACAAAAAATACTTGTTATGGTCTTCATCCATTTTTTGTACTAATTCGGTAGATATTTAATATTTATTGAAAATAGATATTGAAAAATTAAATTTTTTCATTAAAGTGATCCATTAACATATAAAACATATGATGGTGTTGAAGCTGGTGATATTGGAGCTAAATGTGGATGGAATGGTCTTGATAATGGGTATGAAAATAATTTTATTAATTGTAAAATTTAAAAAAAAAAAACACATGATAATTTTAGTTTTTTAATTTTTCGTAATTATCGAATTCCCAGAGAAAATTTACTTAATAAACATGGTGATGTTTTACCTGATGGAACTTATAAAACTCCATTCAAGGTAATTAGTATATTTTTCTTCTAAACTAATATTTTATTTTTTATGTTAATACTTTGATTAATTAAATAATCAAACTATTGAACATACTAGACTCATAATGAGCAAAACCGTGCCTGATTATTTCTCTAACGTGTACTAAGCAAAGAGAAAACCTTCTAGGATTATATATTTCTTCTATAAAGAGAAAAGGTCATTGATATCTTTGACTTAATTAATTTTAAAATTTCAATTATTAACGATAAACATATGAGAATTGTTTCGAAGAAATTTTTATCTGTAATTATCATTGTTGATTTTACTGGATGTATTTCTTTTTTGTAAAATCAATATTATTTTCTTAATAGACATCAAATAAACGATTTGGTGCAAGTCTTGGTGCACTTTCATCAAGTCGTGTTGGTATTAGTAGTTTAACAATTGGTTTATTAATTAATTGTTGTACAATTGCTATACGTTATTCATGTGTTCGAAAACAATTTGGACCATCACCTGGTATAGAAATACCTGTTATTGAATATCAAACTCAAGTATTTATTTTAGAATAAACGAAAAATAAAAAAAAAACATTTTATTCAAAAATTTATTTCTTATTTAGAATTGGCGTTTAATTCCAATACTTGCATCACTTTATATTTATCGACATTTAGCATTATCAGTCTTTGATAATTTAGTTGAATTTTATGCAATATCAATGTCAAATAATGAAGATGATCAAGATCTACTTGCATATATGGGTAGAGAACTTCATGCTTTATCATGTTCATGTAAATCAATATGTACTTGGAATACACAAAAAGCATGTCAAGAATGTCGAGAAGCATGTGGTGGTCATGGTTATTTATATGGTAGTTAAACAACAAAGAAAAATGATAATGAAATTTTTTTTTTTTTTAATAGCAACTGGTTTCGGTAATATTCGAAATGATAATGATCCATCATGTACATTTGAAGGTGATAATAATGTTATATTACAACAAACATCAAATTATATTTTATCAAATTATGAAGATATATATAAAAATAGTAATTTTTAAACAAAAATAAATTCTGTTTAAAATAATTATTTGATTATTTTTATTTTTTGTTTTTTCAAGATACATCAATTAATAGTCCATTTAAAAGTATTCTTTTTATTGAAACAATGAAAAATACTCTTCGTGATAATCATTGTTCTATTACGTCTGAATGTCATATAAAAGGTAAGAGAAAAAAACATGACAGAACGAATAAGTTTTTTTTTTTTTTTTTGTCAGGTGAATAATAAGCGTGATGTATATAATTTACAGTTTATAATTAACATTGACTGAAAATTTTAGATTTAATATTGTCATATAATTGCAATAAATATGTAACCTATAATTTGTTTTTGATTACTTAATTAACCTATATCATATGAATTCATTTGTTCGATAAAAAAAAAAAGCTTTGGAGCGATTGATAGAAAATATTGTTTACTAAATAAAAAAAAAAAGAACTCTGTCGGAATGCATAAATTTCGAAAATATTTCTATTCAATCTTTTTTCAATGAAGTATTTTATATATTTATATAAAATAAATATTCTTGAGAAAAAAAAAATACTACCTAATAATAAATAATTATGCTGACGTCTTTAGACTTATGACAATTTCCGATTAAGGAAATGAACTGGTTTTAGTCATCAGTTTCATTTATATGAAATATCATTACTTAAAAACTCATCTTAGCTAGCCCATTAAATTTGCAATTACTCTATTCTATATCATGTCGTTGAAACTGTAATAAACCAGTTCTAATAAAAGAATTTAGAGTTGTCACATCATTCAGCTTATTCTCAATATCAGATTTCATCTCTTGAAAAGAAATATTATGAAATGTTCTCATATTGAAAAATAATCTCGCGAACTCGATGCATAGTATAGTTTATCATAACCGAGAAGTATCGGATAATGAAGTAGTTTCCGATAGAATAATGTTTTTTTTTTAAATAGACTTGCTCAATGCTGTTGATTGGCTATTATGTTATATTCTTGAGAAATCAGCTAGAAAAATTGATCAATTAACAATACGAAAAGATCTATCAGCATTTGATTTAAAAAATACAGCACAAGTTTATCATCTTCGAACATTATCAATTGTTTATATTCAAGTACAAAAATTTCTAAAAAAAAAAGAAATGAAAATTTTTTTTTGAAATTTAATTTTTTTTTTAGCGTACAGCTATTTTTCGATTTTTACAATATATTGAAAATAATGAAGAAATGGATGATAAATGTAAAAATGTTCTTGATAAATTATTAATTGTTTATACATTAAAATTTCTTGAAGAAAATATAAATTTATTATTTGAAGGAAATTATTTTAATAATAGTTCAATTAATATATGGATACAAAATCGTTTAATTGATTTATGTCATGATTTACGAAATGAAGCTGCTGCTTTAGTTGATGTTTTTGCACCACCTGATCATATACTTAATTCAGTTTTAGGTGTTAGTGATGGAAAGGTAAATTTTTTAATATATTTTAAACATTTTTTGTTTGTTTGGTTTTAGGTTTATGAAGCGATTAACAAACAGATACATAGTAATAAACATACATTCTTAACGCCAGCATGGATAAAACAAGATTTAATTGAACGTAGTAAACTTTAAGAATTTATGTTTTTATTTTTATATATGATTTTATATATTAAATAAATTAATAAAAATGTTTTTGATTATAGATTGATTCTATTCTTTTTTTCTTCTTTTTAAGTTTTAGATCTGAGTATTTATTAATTTGCTTTTGAATTCAAGAAAAAATGGGAGAAACGAAAGAAATTGAACGGTAAATATGAACTGTTATTTAGATTTTTAATATTTATTCTTAGAAAAGAATCAATTTAAATTAAAGAGGATGTGTTTTTCTTATGCTTATCAATTCCCAACAAAAAATATTCAGCCAATCTTGTCAGTCTCCGAACATGTGTGGATGAAATATTGATCGAACTCAATAAATTCTATTCTATAAGATTTTGCAATGAAGTTTTCTATCAAATATATTCTATATCGAAATTTCATAGATGGACTATGAGGAGAAGTATTCTGAAAACTCAATTAATTAATTTTCAGGTTTTGTGAAACTGTATGAAAATTAGTTTAAAAGGGTACATAAAATCCTGAATAAAATAAGTGATAGCTGCGTTTCCTTAAAAAGTTATATGCATTACAATACGAAATTTATAATAATATTGCCCAAAAAAAAACCGCATTTTTATGTTTATAACTTTTTAAGAGTAAGCCATAGGAACTGTGGTGACCACTTATTTTATTCAGGATTTTACGGTTTTTAAGATAGTTCAAAATAAATTTTCACATAATCTTCATGGATCTGAATACTCTAGCATTCAGTTTTTCAGAAATCTCACTTCCATAGTCCGTCTATGAAATTTCAATATAGAATATATTCATTAGAGAACTTCATCAGCTCTTCAAACTATTATTTTGGATTTGAGTTAAATGCTTGATATCATAGAAAAACAAAAACATCGAAAATATGTTGTTCTTATATATTTGTCTTTACAAAAAGTTGTTCAATCAGCGCTACATTTATTTTTTAGCAATTCAGATTGATATCTAATAAAATAGATTTATAATATAAGATAACAGACATAAGGTCAATGTGCTTTTTGCCGAAATGCGGTGATGAGCATTATAATCATCATAATTCGAAGTCGAATGACATCTTACAGTTGGATATATTTCTTCGCTAGATTCATAAATTTTAAAAAAAAAAGATCTTATATTTATTTATTTTTCTATTTGATTTAGATCGGTACAAATGCGTTTATATGCATTGCATAAACGTCAATTTGTAGCTGTTTTTGTTCTGTTCTTTATTTGTTTATTTATTACTATTTTAATTGGTATTGCTGGTCCTTCTGTTATAATTCAATCGAGTTATTATAAATCAGAAGATCAACAAAAACAAATAGTAAAATCAAATTATTATAAAATTTTCATTCGAAACTTTGTTTTGTTTTTTTTTTTCGTTTAGTCTGGTCCTTATAAACTAGAAGCGAGCAATCTTGATAAATTTCATCAACGTCTTTGGTTAACTATGAAAACAACAACTGATAGCAATGGTAAAAAGAAAACTATATATATATATAAATGGTGCTCCAAATGTTCTGTCTCGATGTGAATAATAAATTTTTCTTTAATAAAGTATGTCGTTGAAATTTTGTCTCTAGAAATGTAAAGATGCAGTAAAACATGCTCTACAAAATTACTTTTAATTGACCCTACTAGCTCTTATAGTAAGAAAGTTATAAGAGTTAGAAATATACTTTACGAAAAACCAAAAAAAACTTAACGTGAAGTTTTCAGAATTGAAAAATAAAATACCGAATTGAATAAGGTTTGAACATTGAGTTCATCGAGAAAATCACTCTAAAGTCATTATAAAATTAATTTCAGATTTGCAACGAATTCAAAACCCTTTTTAGATTACGTGTAGAGCAAACGTGTTTGAAATCTGAAATTAATTTTATAATGACTTTAAATTAGTTTTTCCGATGAACTCAGTGTTTAAATCTTATTCAGTCTGCTATTTTCTTTTTCAATTCTGAAACCTTCACATTAATTTCTTTGTTTTTCGTACAGTATATTTCTAACCTTATAATTTTCCTACTATAAGAGCTAGCAGCTAGCAATTAAAACTCATTTTATAGAACATGTTTTACTACATCTTTTCACCCGAGAGACAAATTTTCAACTACATATTTTACTAAAGAAAAATTTTTTTACTCAAATCGAGACAGAACTCTTGAATCACCTTTTATATATATATATATATATGATTTGAAAAAAAAAAAGTATATTTAATCTTATTTATTGAAGATGACTTTCATCAAGTGGTCAATGTCAGTATTTCTATGAGTAATCCGTCTTCATCAGTAAAGTTGCAAAGCTACGAACGTCAACGCAAAATCCATTGTCAAAAACAAGTTAGTAATAAAAAAAGAATAATAAAGAGTTTGTAGATAGAAATAATAGAAAGAGATTATGTCTAACACATTGGTATTTGTTGAACGCATGGTGTAGATTGTACGAATTTTGGCATTTGTGTCATTGATCTATGTGGTACTTGAACATGATAGGTACCACCACATAATGGTGCATTAGGCGCTTCTTGAACATAACGTTGTTGAACGACTGGAGGTGGTTTTGTTGGTACTTCGACAACTTGATAAACGTATTTTTTTGCTTGAGGAACAACGATAACTCGATCGATTACATCAGCTGGTGGATCAGGTAATCGTTGTCGTACGACTTGAATTTGTGGTGCTGGTTCAGCTGCATAATAAACTTCTTGAAAACATCGTGGTTGATAACTACAATCAAGAGTTATTGGTGCATTGCAACAAGGTATAAATGTAGAGTAGCTAGCACAGGGATCACAACATACGCTACTGCAACTATATACACATGCCATTTGATAGTATTAGTTTGATAAAACAAATATTACGTTGATTGTTGTAGTTTGTAATGAAGATTTGCTTTTTCAAAAAGTATACAAAATGATTATTTTTAGTTATCACAATCACGCAAGCATGACTGTCTATGATAAAGTATATGTAGTTGTTTTGAATGTGTTTACATATTTTTATTATATTTCTAAGTGTCCTTCTACTATGGTTGATCATAGTATATTTTTTTTCTTTGAATTGAGAAAAAAAAAAGCGAATATCCTTTTTATTCATTATATGAATACAAGAAAGTAACTTTTTTTTTCTGTTATTATATATTAGTCAGACGAAAATGAAAGCGTGAACAGTATGTAATCTAATGAATTTACTTTCAACGTATGTTAAATATCCTTCGAATTATAATAAAGTTATTTGTATAATATGAATAATTGTGTTGTATCAGAAAATATTGTTGATATTTGAAATATATTTAAGAAAAATGAATTGTTTATTAGATAAAAAAACAAAAACAATAAAAAGTTAATGAAATAAAAAAACAACTTATTGTTATAGTTTTATTACTAAGAAAATATTCATGATAGAAAAAATTGAAATACTAGTTAAAATTTTTAGTTTTTTAAATATTTTTTTTATAAATATATATTCAAAAGGTTATTCGTCTAAAACCAAAAAACCCATATTATTAATTGACTTCAATGTTCTATAGTCAAGTCAACCTTGATCAATTTTTCAGGTCTGTCTACCCTACTATAAATGAAATAGCGATTAATTATCTGATATATATTCACTAGGATTATACTTTCATAAGTCAGAAAAATTTTTCATGAAATATATCAAACGAGATAGACCATGAATCAATGAAAAAAAATGAGCTATTCAAAATATTATATACCATTTATCTACTGAACCAAGATGAATGGTGAAGGTCACAATTTAACAATCTATAATCTATGTTTATTGACAATATGTCTACTATCAGTTTTCGATATCAAACGAAACTAGACGAAATTTTTTTTGATATATTATGTAAATTTTGATTCTTTATGAACTAATTAAAAAAATATCGAAAAAAAAAATTTTTTTTTCTTTCAAGGCAATGTGAGGGTTATTCTATCAATACACAGGTAAACAGGGCCTCAAGGAAAACGATCTTGAATGCTTTTCAATGTCTTTTATTCATGACAGTTTTTGTCTCGACGAAATTAGAAATTCATTCTAGCTAGAATTACATAAACATTTCTTTTGAAAAATGAAAAAAAACAAAAATTTCAACTACCTACATCCCTGAGAAGGGTCACGAAAATTTTCAAAAAAATACCATTTGTTTTTTCTTTGCAAAATCGGATAATATTCATTCATCCATCTTGATAAAGCATAGAATATTGATCATAGCTATATGATTAAAATGTATTGTCAATTGTAATTGAGCGAATTATAGTTGACATTTCGATGTCATATACTTGTAATGAATCCGTTTACTCTCCATTAAAAATATGACCTATATGCTATCACATTACAATGAATAATGAACATCAATCATATTATTATGATCAACGTTCCATGCTTTATCGATATGAATTATTATTGTCTGATTTTGCAAAAAAAAAAAGAATTTTTTTTTTTTTGTCGAAATTCTTGTGATGCCTCTCAAGAGGTGTAGTGATTCGAAATTTGGTTTTTTTTTTGTTTATCGAAAGAAAGGTCTGTATACTTCTAGCTAGGATGAAATTCAAATTTTGTCGAGACGACAATTGTCATGGATGACAAACAAAAAAAAAACGCTTGTGATCGTTTTCCTTGAGACTGTGTGTCTGTCTGCTGATAACGTAAGCCTCATATTGCCTTGGAAGGAAATTTTTTTTTTCGATATTGTTTTTAATTAGTTTATGGAAAATCAAAAATTACATAATATGTCAAAAAATTTAGTTTGATTTCGAAAGATAACAGTAGATAATATACTGTCAACAAACGTAGATTATAGATTGTTAAATATGATATTCTTCATTCATGTTGTCTGAATAAATAAATAATATATAATATTTTAAATAATTCATTTGTTTTAGCTATTAATCGTCTATATTTTAATATATTTTATATGAATAAAACTTTCTGATATTTGTAGAAATATAATCCTAGTAATTATTGATAAAATAATTATTCACTTTTTTCTTGATAGTAAGAAGACAGTGTTAAAAAATTGATCAAGGGTAACTTTACCATGAAATATCGAAATGAGCTAAATATTTGGGTTTAGTGATTTTTAATGATGGCCTTTCAAATGCATATAAAAAAAATAGAAAATTTACGTTTTTACGTGTGCCGTATAGTGGAGTGATCCTCGGTATAATTCATGAGGCGTGTCTTAATTATTCAGGTCATGATGTGTAATGATGAAATTTATTTGATTCAACGATTTAATTCAAGTTATTGGCACATAAGAAAAACAGATTAGAATCAGTTCTTTTTTTTTATCTTTTGTGATATGATAAGATAACCTTGTTTTTTTTTTTTTTCGAAAGAATCTATCGTTGATTTTCTATATTTATGTATGAATGTATATGTTGTATACAATTGTAATATAGTATTATTTATATGAAATCCATTCATTTGCATTATATCATCGATTACCTTCAGATTTATTCATGGACATTTCTTTTTATTCTCATTCAATTGACGCTAGTACCTTATACATTATTGAAACTGATCATATCGATTATGCAATATGCGTTTGTTTGTAGTTCTATACGTATCACTCCAATTATGGGAGAAGGTTTCTATTTATCGGATTCACAATCATACATCAATGACAAAGTATAGAATAAAAGAAGTTATTTGTGTGTGTTCAATTGTGCCCGTAAACCTTGATATGGTTGAATAAGCACAGATACTCATGAATGCCCTTCGTTCTTTGGATCCAGTTTTTTTTTTACACGTATTACTTCGAGGCTGATCAGGGTCGAACGAAAAAAAAAAGATGCTCATGGTCAAAACCTAACTCTAGTATAAATGTGACAGTTTTCTATCAGTTTGTTTCATATTCAGCTGCTTGTGACCACGAATATACACAACTTCTAACCCTTCAAAATCTAGGTAAGCATTGTGAACGAATTAGATTTTTTGTTTTTCCTCATCACTCAGTCTTTTTTGATATTACCACCGTCACCATCATAATCATCACCACCGTCACCAATAGTATTAATATATAGACTACATCTTCATGATTATCGAATCATACATATAGAAAGGAATAGAAAAAGAAATAGAAAAGAGTAATGAGAAGCTTATGATTGTAGTACAACTTTAATATTGCTAGTTAATGAGAGAATTGAATCAAATTGTAGTTGAAAACTTTATTATACGCATATCTAAGAGTAATCGATCGCATTATACATTTTAATACTCCCTTCTTATGTCCTTAAATATCCTCGTATTCATAAATCAGAAATAGTTTGAGTAAACCCACACAGGAATGCGTCCTTTTAATCAAGATACAATCCAAACCGAAACTTACAAATCACCTTCCAAACAATCAGAGAGCACCAGCGAGACTGCACGTGGTAGTAAACAAAATATTCATAATGGTCATGGCCGCAAGAGACGTAGAAAACATTCAAGAACGACATCAAGTACAAGTTCAAAAAGCTTATACAAGAAAAAACATTATCCAGCCGGTTCTCGTTCTCATAAACATGGTGGAATAGCAGCAGGTGCTGGCAACTACATTTATGATGAACGACAACAATGTAGTGCAAATGATGTTGTTGACGATCCTTATGGTGGTCTTGGTGGTTATAACGAATTTTATTATGGTAATGAAGCTGTTGGCGATGAATCAAGTGATATTTATCGTCGTCGTCGCCGTCATCATCATGGATATATTCGCCATCAAACTGTTCGTTTACCAGATCAACCAGGTGTTGTACGACAAGTACGACATCGAATGCCCACGCCAGAACCAGACATTCTCGAACGTGTTTACGTTCGTCGTCAATTAACTGACATTATAGAAGAAATCATTGAAGAACCAACGACACCACCACCTGTTATTCAAGAACGCACTATTGTTGAACAAACCGGACCACCTCAAATTGTGCGCAAAGTAATTCGTGTACCACCTCGTAGTCAAATTCATGAACATCAACAGCTAGAAACACTTAATCAATATGGAAGTTTAAGCGGTGCAAATGCACCAACAGCTGGTAATGGTGTTTATGGAGCAGGTTATGGACAATCAGGAAAAGGATATAATACTAATGGAAATTACTGTCAGCCAGATAATCATATTGAAATTCAACAACAGGGACCACAAGTTTATGGACAAACTGGTCAACAAAGATATCAAGAACTACAGCAGTCAGCAGTTGGTGCTCGTTTTAACTATAATGCATCTAATACACAAAATTTAGCTGGTGTTGGCATGCATCCATCTCAACCAATAGTACCTCCATCGAATATTTCACAAAATGCGTTTGGCTTTCAAACAGGAAGTATTGGTACTCCAGCACCTTCCCCACCCCAACCATCGCTTTCTAGTTATGGTCCAAGTCTTCAGGGTCTTGGCGGATTAGTAGGAGCCGCTAATTTTGGAGCACAAAGATTCGGAATCTTAGGAGTACCTCAGAATTTCGGATTGGCTCCAAATTTAGGGGTAGAATCAGGTTTAGGAGTAGCATCAAGTTTAGGAGCAACACCAAATTTTTGTGCAGGAGGCAGTTTTGGAGCAGTTCCAACTTTTGAAGGAACATTAGCAGGTGGAATAGGAGGTTTTTCTAGTAGTGGTTTCGGTGGTGGTGCCGTACATTATGGTGGCGGCTTTGGTGGGGGACAACTAAGTAACCCTGGCAGCTATGGAGTTGGTGCTAGCTTTGGAGGTGCACCTTTCGGTACCTCAGGCTTAGCAGATTGTGCAGCTCAAATTAATCCATTCGTGGGCAATTTTAGTAGTGCTACAATGGCTTGCAGTAGTGCCGCATTGGGAGGTGGATTAGGTGCATATGGTGGTGCG